TCACCTCTCGATCCTGTCACGGCTCTCTGCCGTAACAGGGGAGGGGCTGGATTACCCCCTCCCCGCTCCGATCCGCCAGCGCTGATTGGCGGAACTGACGGAGGAGGGGGCGGGTACAGCTGGCTCTGCCTTTATATAGGCAGAGCCAGCTGTCAGTCACGGAGCTGGGCGGATCACGGCATAATTGTCGGAATCCGCTTCAGCTGCGGCGTCTCAGTATACCGCGAGCTACAGCTAACTATATACTGAGCCTAGGGTATATAAGACCTACCCCAAAAATGAGACCTAGTTTGGGGGTAGGGGCGGGCCAGAGAGTCATGGCGGGGACTAACCGCTGTGCCGCAGCTCCCGCATGCCGCCCGTGTCACGAAATCAGACACCTGTCTGCCTTTGCTTAGAGAGCTGCCGCCGGGCAGAAAACTAAATTTCCCAGCAGGCAGCGGCACAGCACGGCAAGCAACGTATAGCCAGTGGGGTCGGGGTGAGGTGACAGCCTCAGTCACTGTGGGAACTTCTGACTGGAGGTCCATGCAGTCCAGCCTGGCGACGATAGAGGTGGCTCCCTGGCAGGGATCCCACAGAGAACTGTGGACGGCATTCAGAGAGGAGAGTTTCAGGACAGCTGCAGCCTGCAGGTGTTGTGACCCTGTGTGTGTGACAGTATTCAAAATAAGACATCCCCTGAAAATAAGACCTAGTGTGTTTTTTTTGGGAAAAAAAATATATAAGACAGTGGGGGTGATTTACTAACCTAAACACACGCACGCACCAGGTGCGTGTGATTTTCACACAGCAAAACGTATTTATCAACCAAAAAGTCTCTAAAAGCATATTTCCACTAATGCAATATATGGAAAAATCATGCACATGATGCATATATAATGCTGCTTCACAGTTTAGACAAAAATGGTTAGCTCATGCATTTACATTCCTGCATTCATCAACGCAAGCAACACAACGTAGAGCTAATTTACACAACATCACCTTGCAAGTCATGCTGGGCTTTGCACAACACACCTGCTGGGTGTGTACACACTACAAAGGTGTTTAGATTCCACCCATAGATCATGCTGGGAGGGAACACACTACAGAGGTGTATACATGTTCGTGGTGTGTTTATAAGGTTAGTAAATCAACCCCAGTGTCTTATTTTCAGGGAAACATGGTAGTACGGGTGCCGACACTGAGTATTTGGGCGAGTACTTGTATTCGCCTAAATGCTCCGATGCGTAGCCTGATACCCAAACTTCCAGTATCAGGAAGCTGGGCAGCGCGTCATTACACGCTGCCCGGCTTCCTGATTGGCCGGAAAGTCGGCTCCATGCTCCTTCATCACTTGGTGACGAGGAAGCATAAAGCCGGCTTCCCGGCCAATCAAGAAGCCGGGCAGCGTGTAATGACTCGCCCCCTAGCTTTGAGCCCCTAGACCAGAATGAGCAGTTAACCCTTGCAGCGCGGGGTTCATTTTTTACATTCCTGCAGTTTCTTTATATACACGGTTTGAGGATATTTGTGCTCACAAAATTCCACTTATTGGGTATTGAATGTGAAAACTGTTTTGTATAGCATTATTGGTTTTCTTAAAGGGACATGCCTCCCACTTTTTGATATCTGCCATAATGATGCTCCCTATTAGTATAGACACTCCCACAATAATATCATGTGACTCTTTGATGCTGGAACAATATTTAACTTTTTTTTTTTTTACTCAGATAATCCCGTTAGGAAGCCGAAACACTTGGACATAGAAGCGGTTGGTATTGTCTCTACTATGTAATCTTGTTGGAATCTTTATAGCTGAAGTTAAATCTGCTTATATTTTGCCCTCCCCGCTTCCTCCCCGCCCCCCCCTTTCTTCATCAACATGTCAAATTATGTTATTTTTATTTATTTTTCTCTATATTTTTTATGTATTATTTATTTTTATTAAACATTTTTAATTTTTAACTTTACTGTTGGGGGCTTCCGTGAAATATTAGGGATTTAAACAGACCCCTGATATTTCCGTTATACAATAGAAAAGGAGATTGAGTCCTCAATCACTTTTTCTGCAGCCCCTGTTATCAATGAACAGGAATCCTCTATACTGAGTGTTCCTGTTCATTCATAACTTGTGGAGATAGTAAGTTTACCATGTCTACAAATATGAATGAACAGGAAGTGATGTAGATCACTTCCCATTCATTTATAATAGGGGGCACAGTAAACATACTATGTCCTCAATTATGTACAAACACTCAGCGATCGCTGACTGCTTGTACCCGCTCTCCATCCTGACACGCTGTCACAGGAGGCTGAGCGGGCGCTGCGGGGGGGGGCATGGTCAACTCCTCCCCTGTACCGCCGGCCGGCCTCCTGTGATCGCTGACAGCTGTCTCCACCCACACACCGCTCTTCTGATCTGTTACAAGAGGCGGGGCGGGAGGAGAGCTCAGCCTCCTGCGACATCGCGGCTCACAACACTCTCCTCCCCACACCGCTCGGCTCCTTACAGTTTCTCTCCTCCCGGCTGGACGCTGCACTGTTTCAGGGGGGATACAGAGCAGCGCCCAGTGGGAAGGAGAGAAACTAGAGATGCACCACAATTTCGGCAGAAAGAGGGCACTCTCAGCAGCTTGCCTAAAGTGCCATTTTGGGCTGTTATGTTTGGGAGGCTGAAATTTCAGTGCATCCCTAGTCACAAGTCACCTGATGTTTAGCAACTGTTGCCCCGTTGAGTTTTAGGTGTCAGAGGACCTTCCACCCCCCATGATGGAGCCAAAAAGTAAGGCACAAAAAAGGCAATACTGTTAAATGAGGGGCTGATCTAAATCTTTCATAAGTACAGAACAATTGCAGTAATTTAGGACTGACCTTTCAGATGCTTAAACCCACTTAAAGGAGAATTATGCGGAGAGTGAAATACACTCATCCCCATAATTTGAGCTGACGCGTGACACGAAAACCGTCACAGGTTGGCTCTAAAGATCAAGAACTGAGCGATCACATACTGCCGAACGTTCAGTTCATGATCTCCCCGCAGAGACCTGTGACTGTCAGTCACCGCTCCCCGCATGGATTCTCCCCTCACGCTGGTCCTTCAGCGCTGACTAGAGGAACTGAAAGGGAGGGAAGCGGACACAGCTGGCTCTGGCTCTAGAGCGGCAGTGCCAGCTGTCAGTCAGGCAGCAGGGAGGATAGCGACAATATTGTCGAGATCTGTCCCGGCTGCAGCGTAGCTCTCTGCTGTCAGCATATAGCAGGCAGTAGCCTGCAATATACTGAGGTTTGGTTCACAGGAGGATATTAGTAAATGCCCTCCTGTGACCCTAAAGAGAACTATGGCAGAATAAGGTTTGGCCATAGTTCTAAGACACTTTTAAAGTGACATTGAACCCTCAGATTTTTTAACATAAAACAATACTGTACTGTCGCCTTACTGTAATCCAGGGTTGTTTCCCTTCTCTTTGCTGCTCTTCCTTTTAAATCCGTATCTCTTCTCATGCTCTGCAGAACTTCTGTTTTGCAGCAGACTGCCTTGTCTCTGGAATGGATACATGGTGTCTGTGTGTACGTTTGCAACCTGAGCCATCACTACAGGAAGAGGCACTCAGCTGCAAAGGGAAGTTCTCCCCCAGCATGAGAAGAGATACAGATTTAAAAGGAAGAGCAGCAAAGAGAAGGGAAACAGTCACTTTAAGTTCTCTTTAGAAGAAAAGAAAAAGTTGTGTTTTTTTTTTTAAAGCTTTGCTCGCTGTTTTCCAGGATTATCCAATGAACTTTGACCCCTGCGGTTATTGCCTCATCATCAATAACGTGGAGTTCGCAGAGTTCACCAATTTGTCCTACAGAGGCGGCTCCGATATTGATCGGGAAAAGATGGAGATGCGGATGAAATCGTATCATTTCGACGTCTCGGTGAAGAATAATCTGAAAGGAGCGGTCAGTGCGTTATACTCCTGATATATCATATCGGCCTTTCTGTTGACCACCAATGTGAGGGAGCAATGCAATATTCTGCATTTCTTTTATGGTTGATATTATAATTTGTTTCATTTTATTATTGAGATTGAAAATAATGTCCTATAGAGTAGCCCTGGGTGCAGACATCGCAACTCTCCCGGACGTTCCGGAAAGGTTTACTCTGCTCGATCTAGCAGAGTAAACCTTTCCCTGCTGTCTGCTTTTTTTTTTTACTCTGATATCGGCGCCGCCGTCCGCCGTCAGAGTAATAAAAAAAAAAAGACAGCATAGAAATGAATAGCTAGATTGCTATTGGCTATTTGGTTTTGCAACTTCTCTGCTGTCAGCATATAGCAGGCAGTAGCCTGCAATATACTGAGGTTTGGTTCACAGGAGGATATTAGTAAATGCCCTCCTGTGACCCTAAAGAGAACTATGGCAGAATAAGGTTTGGCCATAGTTCTAAGACACTTTTAAAGTGACATTGAACCCTCAGATTTTTTAACATAAAACAATACTGTACTGTCGCCTTACTGTAATCCAGGGTTGTTTCCCTTCTCTTTGCTGCTCTTCCTTTTAAATCCGTATCTCTTCTCATGCTCTGCAGAACTTCTGTTTTGCAGCAGACTGCCTTGTCTCTGGAATGGATACATGGTGTCTGTGTGTACGTTTGCAACCTGAGCCATCACTACAGGAAGAGGCACTCAGCTGCAAAGGGAAGTTCTCCCCCAGCATGAGAAGAGATACAGATTTAAAAGGAAGAGCAGCAAAGAGAAGGGAAACAGTCACTTTAAGTTCTCTTTAGAAGAAAAGAAAAAGTTGTGTTTTTTTTTTTAAAGCTTTGCTCGCTGTTTTCCAGGATTATCCAATGAACTTTGACCCCTGCGGTTATTGCCTCATCATCAATAACGTGGAGTTCGCAGAGTTCACCAATTTGTCCTACAGAGGCGGCTCCGATATTGATCGGGAAAAGATGGAGATGCGGATGAAATCGTATCATTTCGACGTCTCGGTGAAGAATAATCTGAAAGGAGCGGTCAGTGCGTTATACTCCTGATATATCATATCGGCCTTTCTGTTGACCACCAATGTGAGGGAGCAATGCAATATTCTGCATTTCTTTTATGGTTGATATTATAATTTGTTTCATTTTATTATTGAGATTGAAAATAATGTCCTATAGAGTAGCCCTGGGTGCAGACATCGCAACTCTCCCGGACGTTCCGGAAAGGTTTACTCTGCTCGATCTAGCAGAGTAAACCTTTCCCTGCTGTCTGCTTTTTTTTTTTACTCTGATATCGGCGCCGCCGTCCGCCGTCAGAGTAATAAAAAAAAAAAGACAGCATAGAAATGAATAGCTAGATTGCTATTGGCTATTTGGTTTTGCAACAGCCAATAGCAGGCTAGCTATTGCACCCACCCACTGCTGCTGTCAATCAGCAGAGGTGGACCTGAAGTTCTCCATCAGGTCCTCTCTCTGCTGATTGACAGCAGCGGAGGGCGGGTGCAATAGGCAGCTTGCTATTGCAAATTGAAATAGCCAATAGCAGGCTAGCTATTCATTCCCTGAGCTGTTTTTGGGGTTTTTTTTTACTCTGAGGGCAGCAGCTGTCAGAACACTAAAACAAAACAAAGAAAGCAGCAGATAGCACGAGCAGCAATAGCTTTTTTGCTATCTGCCATCATTTCAGGGTATTTCCCCTTGGATATGGGGGGGAGGATGGTCAGTGGGCACCTCCCTGAAATTACTTTTTTCAGGTTGGGATCCCTGATACAGTTAATGTTCAGACAAATGTGCCTTTATTTGTAGATATAGTAATTATTAGCAGGGGTTCCCTGAGACCTGAACGTTATTTTAAGGGTTCCTACATGATAAGAAGGTTGCAAAAAAGCTATATTATATACAGGTGATTCCGGTATAATGTGTTTATGGAGTATGACCTTTTTATCCTTATCTGCAGGAAATCTACGAGGAGCTTCAGCTTCTGGCCTCCAAAGATCACAGCAAGAAGGACTGCTGCCTCATCATCATCCTGTCTCACGGCTGTGAGGTGAGAAGCTCATATTGATCTGTGATATTGTGATCGATACCTATATAGCCCTAGTTACTGACCTCTGGATATCGATATCCACACTGCATCGGACAACGTTTTTTTTATCTTCAAATTGCCTCTTCATTTTACAAGTGATTCATCTAAATCAGGCCATGGTGTGGAGCCTGCAGTGGCCCGTGCAGTTCTGTCACCATTAGGCCCCATTCAGACACGAATCGGCCTGCACGTACAGGTGCTGCGTGTGATTAGTGCGCAGCCCCCGTCCTCCTCTATTGGGCTACGCAGCTGTACGTCCCCCTACGCTGGCCCGCCCTGCACGTCCGTAGGGGTGCGGCTGAGCCTATTCATACGCCGCCGGAATGGATCCTGTATGCGTCCCGGCCAGAAAACCCGCACCCCTACGGACCTGCACTTGAAGCGAGCGTAGGGGGGCGTACGGCCGCGTAGCCCCATAGAGAAGGACGGGGGCTGCGTACTAATCACACGCAGCACCTGTCCTTCCCGGCAGCTGCTTGGTACGGCCCCGCACGCAGCACGGAGCTGTACGTGTAGGCCGATTCGTGTGTGAATGGGGCCTTACACTGCAGAGAGAACTCTGATTGGAGGAGAGGCTAGTTACTAGTCATGTGACCAAAACTCTTCTTCCATTTTACAAAGCACCATTTTGAAAGAGTCTTCAGTCTTGCACAGTTGTACTTTCCTGGACTGAAATTGCTTCCTCTGATTTTACTGCACATTGTAAGCTCCTCACAACGTGCATTAGAATCTGTAGCATGTCCTGGCTCATTTCCTGGCTGAAGGACGTCCAGCATCATCCTTAGCCTGCCCCTTTCACTCATTGGTTTTTAGTTCTTTCAGTCATGGAGGCTCAGCATCACACGTAGGCATTACCACAACTTCCTGTTTTAAGAAGCTATTTACTGCACCCTGTCGGCCCCTCTCATCAACCACGATCTTCCTGCATTGCACAGAGAGGCGCATAGACTCAGTGATGATATCGCCAGGTCTAAAACAAGGAATGTAACGGCAATGGAAAGGTTTTATTAATTTCATCAGCATGTTGATGAGGGGAGGGGCACAAATGTCAAGATTTCAGACATGATAGAGAAGTTTTCATACTGATGGAGCTGCTAATTAAAATAAAAGAGCATCTTTCTTGCTAGACCCGACACACACGGTTTCCAGGCGGAGTATACGGCACAGACGGGGTAAAGATCTCTGTGGAAAGAATCGTCAACTTCTTCAACGGTCACAATTGTCCGAGTCTGGGAGGAAAACCAAAACTGTTCTTCATCCAGGCTTGCGGAGGCGGTAAGGAGAACTAATAGGCGGTCCTTAAAGTGGACTTGTCTGTGTAATTCACATATCATATGATTCAGTAGTTCACTCTCGCATAATATTTATAGTGTTATTATTATACAGGATTTATATAGCGCCAACAGTTTGCGCAGCGCTTTACAATATAATGAGGACATTACAGTTACAATAAAAATCAAGATGGTAAGGAGGACCCTGCCCATGAGGGCTTACAATCTAAAAGGGAGGGGACAGTGATACATGAGGAGGTAACTGTGTGGGGATGAATAGTTTGAGAACATTTCATTGTCACAGGTCGGCTCAGTAGATCGGGAAGTGAGCAAACACACACCGTCGCTCGCTCACTTCTTGATCTATCCCTGCAGAGAGCCGTGACTGTCACTCACGGCTCCCTGCAGGGATTTCCCCCCCTCCCCCGTCCGATCCTCCAGCGCTGACTGGCAAAACAGACGGGGGAGGGGCAGACACAGCTGGCTCTGCCTCTGTCGGGATCCGTCCCGGCTGCGCGTCTCAGTATACCGCGAGCTACAGCTTTGGGTGACGGGAGGACAGTAGTTTGTGTTCTCCCGTGACCCTTAGGAGAACTATGGGGAAAAGCCCTGACCCCATAGTTCTCCTTTTAAGGGATCGCCTAAAGGCAGTCAGTGAGAGATAGACGGACAGGTTGGGGTAAAGTGTTCCAGAGGATGGGAGAGACTCTAGAAAAGTCCTGGAGGCGAGCATGGGAGGAGTTGACAAGGGAGCTGGAAAGCAGGAAGTCTTTGGAAGAGCAAAGGGGACGGTTAGGGTGATAGTAGTATTATTATTATAGTATGAGTGTAAAAGATGGAGGTAAATATAACTACTTGTCTTGTGGGGGGGTTTTCTCTTTGGTTTTTGGGCTCTCTAATGGCTGTAGATTTGCATTCATTTTCATTTGTTATTAAAAAAAACTTAGAGATTCTCTCCCTTCCCTTCTATTCTTTAACTACCTCCCGGCCAGCCGCTGTGTATACACGGCCTGCCGGGAGCTTCTTGGATGTAACTGGGCGTGTATACACGTCCTGTTACGCGCCGCGCGCGAGCGGGAAATCCCCGCTATTTGAAAAGAGGCAGCGATGCCCGTTAATATACAAGCGATCCGCGGCTCTCCCCCTCCCCCCCTGCCGCTGTCAATCTGGTCGCAGGCTCCGGTGTGAGCCCGTAATAATTTTTCCTAATTATAATAAAAAATAAAACCCGCAGTGGTGATTAAATACCACCAAAAGAAAGCTCTATCTGTCCCCAAAAAATGGTATAAAATTCATTTCAGTACAGCGTTGCATGACGGAATAAACGTCAGTCAAAGTACCGCAGCGCTGAACACTGAAAAATGGCCTGGCCAGGTAGGGGATCTAAACACCTGGTCTTCAAGCGGTTAAAGAGACCCTATAGAGCAGTGCAACAGAACGCATGGCATTGCGGTACCACACTTTCCATTGCGAGCGATCGTACAGGGGGTGGGTGATGCGTTTTGGATGCCATTCAAATGAATGGCAAGGCAACACACCTCCCACACCAGAACACACAGTAGGTGTGATTGCGTGGTGCAGTGCATTAATCGCATGGGACTGGGACCTTAACCTCCTCATGTATCACTTCCCCCTCCCTTTTATATTGTAAGCCCTCAGGGGCGGGGCCCTCCTTACCATCTTGTCTTTAATTGTATTGTGATTGTAATGTCTTCCTTATATTGTAAAGCGCTGCACAAACTATTGGCGCTCTATAAATACTATATAATAATACTAGTGTGAACGGGCCCTGACAGACACTGACAGACACACACACCACATGACAATGTCGCACACTCAGACATTATCACATACATACACACCCCAAAAAAATGTATCTCTTTTTTTCTTACGATCCACCTAGTCTCCTTAATTTAAGAGAACTGGACTGGATCCTCAGCCTGGGGTCCAGTGTGGGCTGCTGTGCTGTGATTGAGCTCCATCCATATGTGCATTGTTTGTACAGCCTCCCTTGTGTGCCCTGTACGGCTGGCGGGAGCCAGAATGTGACATCACTCTGGTCTAGGCACCTCTACAGCAGCGTTTTTCAACCACTGTGCCGCGGCACACTAGTGTGCCGTGAGATATTTTCTTGTGTGCCGTCAATAAATCGTTAATTTCTTTGATCGATCAAAATTATTTTGATCGATCAAAGTTACTCACCTCTCCGCCGCCTTCCGGGTCTTCCATCGGAGATCCGGTGACGTCACGGACATCGACGTCACCGGACTCCTCCCCCCTTCCCCGAGTGGCTCTGTCGGCTAACGAAGGGAAGGGGGGAGGAGTCGGGTGATGTAGTTGTCCGTGATGGGTAACGAAGGGAAGGAGGGAGGAGTCCGGTGACGTCACGGACAGACTCCTCCCCCTTCCCTTCGTTACCTGACGGAATCACTTGGGCTGAGTCTCCTCCTCACTCTTGGGCCGGTGAGTCATCACATGTCTGTACAAGGCAAAATCTGCTACCCTGGTGAGACCCCACAAAGCCATGGGGCTTTTGGGGTTGTGTGGGTGTGCCATGAAGGAGTTATTAAAGTGATCATTAAAGTGTGACTCATTCTAACCGCAGAGGGCAGAACCAAATGTAAAGCCCCCCCCCAAACCCGGCTTCCTAGGAAAGAGAAGGGGGTGAAGGTGTTTCCCCCCGGAGTGTGGTGAGACCCCCTATGAGCCCTGGTGAGACCCCACAAAGCCATGGTGAGACCCCATGGAGCCCTGGTGAGACCAGGGCTCTGTGGGATCTTGCCAGGGCTCTGTGGGGTCTTGCCAGGGCCCTGAGGGGTCTCACCAGGCTGGTGAAATCGCACATAGCCATGGTGGGACCCCATAGAGCCCCGTGTGAGACCCTACGGAGCCCTGGTGCTGGTGAGACCCTACAAAGCCCGGGTTTAACCAGGGCAGTGTGGGATCTCACCAGGGCTCTGAGGGGTCTAACCAGGCTGGTGAGACCCCCACATAGCTCTGGTGAGACCCTACAGAGCCCTGGTTAAAGCAGGGCTTGGTAGGGTCTCACCAGGGCTCTGTGGGGTTTAAGCAGGCTGGTGAGACCCCACAGTGCCCAAGTGAGACCCCCAAAGAGCCCTGGTGAGACCCCACTGAACCCTACTTTAACCAGGGCTCTGTGGGGTCTCACCAGAGCTCTGAGGGGTCTCACCAGGCTGGTGAAATTGCACATAGCCATGGTGGGACCCCATAGAGCCCTGGTGAGACCCTACGGAGCCCTGGTGCTGGTGAGACCCTACAGAGTCCGGGTTTAACCAGGGCAGTGTGGGATCTCACCAGGGCTCTGAGGGGTCTAACCAGGCTGGTGAGACCCCCACATAGCTCTGGTGAGACCCTACAGAGCCCTGGTTAAAGCAGGGCTTGGTAGGGTCTCACCAGGGCTCTGTGGGGTTTAAGCAGGCTGGTGAGACCCCACAGTGCCCAAGTGAGACCCCCAAAGAGCCCTGGTGAGACCCCACTGAACCCTACTTTAACCAGGGCTCTGTGGGGTCTCACCAGAGCTCTGAGGGGTCTCACCAGGCTGGTGAAATTGCACATAGCCATGGTGGGACCCCATAGAGCCCTGGTGAGACCCTACGGAGCCCTGGTGCTGGTGAGACCCTACAGAGTCCGGGTTTAACCAGGGCAGTGTGGGATCTCACCAGGGCTCTGAGGGGTCTAACCAGGCTGGTGAGACCCCCACATAGCTCTGGTGAGACCCTACAGAGCCCTGGTTAAAGCAGGGCTTGGTAGGGTCTCACCAGGGCTCTGTGGGGTTTAAGCAGGCTGGTGAGACCCCACAGTGCCCAAGTGAGACCCCCAAAGAGCCCTGGTGAGACCCCACTGAACCCTACTTTAACCAGGGCTCTGTGGGGTCTCACCAGAGCTCTGAGGGGTCTCACCAGGCTGGTGAAATTGCACATAGCCATGGTGGGACCCCATAGAGCCCTGGTGAGACCCTACGGAGCCCTGGTGCTGGTGAGACCCTACAGAGTCCGGGTTTAACCAGGGCAGTGTGGGATCTCACCAGGGCTCTGAGGGGTCTAACCAGGCTGGTGAGACCCCCACATAGCTCTGGTGAGACCCTACAGAGCCCTGGTTAAAGCAGGGCTTGGTAGGGTCTCACCAGGGCTCTGTGGGGTTTAAGCAGGCTGGTGAGACCCCACAGTGCCCAAGTGAGACCCCCAAAGAGCCCTGGTGAGACCCCACTGAACCCTACTTTAACCAGGGCTCTGTGGGGTCTCACCAGAGCTCTGAGGGGTCTCACCAGGCTGGTGAAATTGCACATAGCCATGGTGGGACCCCATAGAGCCCTGGTGAGACCCTACGGAGCCCTGGTGCTGGTGAGACCCTACAGAGTCCGGGTTTAACCAGGGCAGTGTGGGATCTCACCAGGGCTCTGAGGGGTCTAACCAGGCTGGTGAGACCCCCACATAGCTCTGGTGAGACCCTACAGAGCCCTGGTTAAAGCAGGGCTTGGTAGGGTCTCACCAGGGCTCTGTGGGGTTTAACCGAGACTAGTGAGACCCCACTGAACCCTACTTTAACCAGGGCTACGTCAGTGCTACAGTTTGAATTTAAAACGTATTTGTGTGAAGTGTGAAGTTGAGTCAAGGATTGAACAGAAATATGAACAATTATAAAATAATTTCTTTGTGTTTATTTGATTCCTATTCAAGATAATTACTTTATATATAGTCAATATAGGCACAGAGGTAAATTTGTTTAACATTTTCTAATGGTGGTGTGCCTCGTGATTTTTTTCATGAAAAAAGTGTGCCTTTGCACAAAAAAGGTTGAAAAACACTGCTCTACAGGACATGCGAGGAAGCTATAAGCAAGGCACGTATGAATGGAGCTCCCTCCCGGCCATATCCGAAGCCCACCCCACCTCAAGCTGACACTCGGCGCCGGGCAGCATATTTTGAATGCTGCTTGGTGTGAGAACTGACTGTTGCGCTTGGAAGAGGCTGAGGAGCCTCTTACCTAAAAAAAAGTGTAAAACACGCAGTGACCCACTGAACACGTCATTGGTTAGTCATTGGTTGCTAGAACCACTGGTGTCCTACAACCAATGACGCTACTCAGGGCCGGCTGTTACAACTACAAGGGACCACTTATACTGGCACGCTGTTGTCCGACCGTGGTTTTCAAGGGCCAGGAACATCGTCAAAAAAAATGAAGTGATTCTGTGACCTGTTGAATATTTGTTTTTATTGAAGTTAGTCATCTATAAATGGACATTTGTTTTGTTTGTTTCAAAGATCAGAAAGACAGAGGTGTAACAGTGGAATCCGCAGACCTCCCCGAGGAAATCGACTCTTGTTCCTTGCAGTCTGACGCCATTGCTGTCCGCCCCAGTGAGGAAGATGGAGACGAAACGGACGCAGTGGCGAGCCTGCCCACCTCCAGTGATATTCTGGTCTCCTATTCAACCTTTCCAGGTGTGTGTATACTGCAATGTGAGGAACTGCGACGCTAGAGGAACTACAACCATTAGCTGCCGCTACAAATGTTCCTCTCTGTGATAGCAAATGATCTTTTGCTTTGCTGGATAACGGAAAACTTTATTCTAAAACCTTAAAAGCCACAATGGCAACTTCCCTGATCTGTTTGAAACTAGCAAGTAAGATAGAAGTGCACATGAGCACGTCATTCATTTTCATTTGTCATAAAAAAAAAACCTTACAGAGATTCCCACCCCTCCCTTCTATTCTTTAAAGAGACCCTATAGAGCAGTGGTTCTCAACTTGTGTAACCTCAGGACCCACATTTGTCCTGGGTCATTAAGTTGCGACCCAAGTCGCACTGCAACAGAACGCATGGCATTGCAGTACCACGCGTTCCGTTGCGGGGGCGGGCGATCGAACTGTGGGTGGGTGATGCCTTTGGGATGCCATTCAAATGAATGACAAGGCAACGCAACTCCCACACCAGAACACACAGTAGGTGTGATTGCGTGGTGCAGTGCATTAATCGCATGGGATTGGGACCTTAACTACCTCCGGGCCGGCCGTAGTAAAAAAACGGCCGGCCAGGAGCTCTCTCGATCTGAGCGGGCGTCTCTAGACGTCCGCTCAGACACGTCCCCTTGCGCGCACCGCCAGGCGCGCTGGTTAACCTCCTCATGTATCACTTGTCCCTCGCTTTTAGATTGTAAGCCCTCAGCAATACAGAGCGGTCCCCACACACTATTACCTAGTACATAATGTAAACCTGATTCAACTGTCTCCACTGCTCGGGTTAAATACAGAGAAGGGAATTTATCAAAAATGGAGCAGACAAAATCTGGAGCAGCTGTGCACGGCAACCAATCAGCTTCTCTCTTTCATTTTTAAATGAACAAAATGAAGAGAGAAGCTGATTGGTTGCCATGCACAGCTACTCCAGATTTTGTCAGCTCCAGTTTTGATAAACTCCACCCAGAGATTTTTGTTGCACACATTTGCAGATGTATGTGGAAGCCACACTGCCATGGCAAGGCACCTCTGTAAAGTTTGGTCCCTATCTCAACAATATCGGAGTTTCCCAACTATGGGGCATATAAAGCAATGCACAAATATAGAGCACGCTCACCTAGAGGCAGCCCCCTCCTCCTTGAAGGTACAGCAACACCCCAGCAGCCTAGGCATAACCTTTGCTAAAGACTTCCAGTGTGTGTCTGCACCAAATCCAATAAAGCAACAATGGCAGCCGCTCCGATCAGTTTGAAACTATCAAAAAGGGAAAAGCTGCACATGGGCACAGGGCAATATAGACAAAAGTACAAAGTGGTCCCCAGCAAACCTTTTTAAGCTAGCCAACAAAAATACTAACCTGTTTCAACTACTCTGATTTAATAAAAGAGGTTTTACTTGCATGCATTTGCAAATACATATACACTCACCGGCCACTTTATTAGGTACACCCTGCTAGTCCCGGGTTGGACCCCCTTTTGCCTTCAGAACTGCCTTAATTCTTCATTGCATTGATTCAACAAGGTGTTGGAAACATTCCTCAGAGATTTTGGTCCATATTGACATGATAGCATCAAGGGCCCAAAGTATGCCAAGCAAATATCCCCCACACCATTACACAACCACCACCAGCCTCCATACATGCTTTCATGTTGTTTATGCCAAATTCTGACCAGACCATCTGAATGTCGCAGCTGAAATGGACACTCATCAGACCAGGCAACGTTTTTCCAATCTTCTATTGTCCAATTTTGGTGAGCCTGTGCGAATTGTAGCCTCTGTTTCCTGTTAGCTGACAGGAGTTGCACCCGGTGTGGTCTTCTGCTGCTGTAACCCATCGGATTCAAGGTTGGACGTGTTGTGCGTTCAGAGATGGTATTCTGCAGACCTTGGATGTAAGGATCATCTATCATCTCACAACAGTCTGCCCATTCTCCTCTGACATCAACAAGGCATTTTCCTCCACACAACTTCCGCCCAATGGATATTTTCTCTTTTTCGGACCATTCTCTGTAAACCCGAGAGATGGTTGTGCGTGAAAATCCCAGTAGATCAGCAGTTTCTAAAATACTCAGACCAGCCTGTCTGGCACCAACACCCATGCCACGTTCAAAGTCACTTAAATCCCCTTTCTTCCCCATTCTGATGCTCAGTTTGAACTTCAGCAAGTTGTCATCACCACGTCTAGATGCCTAAATGCATTGAGTTGCAGCCATGTGATTGGCTGATTAGCAATTTGTGTTACCAAGCAATTGAAGAGGTGTACCTAATAAAGTGGCCGGTGTGTGTAGAAGCCACACTGCCGCATCAAGATGCAGACACACAGTGGAAGTCTTCATCTGCCCTGTAAAGGTGGCAACTGGGTTTGTGTTTCCCAACACCCATGCCACGTTCAAAGTCACTTAAATCCCCTTTCTTCCCCATTCTGATGCTCAGTTTGAACTTCAGCAAGTTGTCATCACCACGTCTAGATGCCTAAATGCATTGAGTTGCAGCCATGTGATTGGCTGATTAGCAATTTGTGTTACCAAGCAATTGAAGAGGTGTACCTAATAAAGTGGCCGGTGTGTGTAGAAGCCACACTGCCGCATCAAGATGCAGACACACAGTGGAAGTCTTCATCTGCCCTGTAAAGGTGGCAACTGGGTTTGTGGTTGTGCCTTCAAGGAGGAGGGCTGCCTCCAGTCGAGCATTCTCCATATGTGCATTGGTATACACTGAGTGGGCCAGATTATTATGACCACCTGACGTTTGTAGACAAATGAGCTATAATTTGGCGCTGAAGTTGCTAGAGGGCCAGACCATTATAAATAGGGAAGCGGGTTGGTTACCACGACAGTAGAAGTGATTTGTTTCTGAAGATACGGGGAAACAACGCGATGTAACAGCCTTTGAACGCGGGATGATTGCTGGCGCTCGAAGCCATGGAGCGAGTATCAGCACAACAGCAGAATGCGTTACATGTTCAAGAGGGGCTCATTGTTAAAGTGTTTAAAGACCGGACTGTCAGCCGAAAATCTGGGTCTGAACGTGCGAATTGTGGCCGTCAGCGACTAGTCAATGTTAGGGCAGAACGGGGGAGGGGCAAGACTGGTACAAGACAACAGAAGAGCAACAGCGCCGTGTCAGATTCCTCGCATCACCTTTCACCATCTCGTGGAGTCACGAGGCGGCCCAACCAAGTACTGATGGGGTGCTCCTAATAATCAGGCCACTCAATGTATATGTGCCATAGTTGGGAGCTCAGATCAGAGTAAGAGACTGTACTTGTCAGAGGTATTCCCTTATGCGGCATTGAGGCTTCCACCTGTATTCGGAATTGTATGAAACTAAAACCTCTGTTTTTAACCCCATTAGTTAAAACCGTTTAGATTTTTTAGTTTGAATGTGTCCTGTATATGTTGTAACAAGGACACTCCACTGTAGTCCAGGTAAGTCAAATCAAATGCAGTTTATTTAGGGCAAACAGAAATATATCTTGCATCAGCAGCAACATAAGACAGTTCCCTTTATATGGCTCAGTAGATTCGCTTATGAGCCCTCACTCTGCTCTCTCAGCAGTGTGTCGTAGCGGTCCTAGGGTCACCGACCTTCCTGACCTCTCCCCTCGTGGGCACTCAAACACATCCCTCATGTGTCACTGGCTCTCTGTCTCCTCGGCTGTCTACGAGGTGCCTCCAGCACACACAGCCACCTGGCTCCCCTCTGACGTCTGGGTGGAGTCCTCCTTGCTCCTGAACACCTCTGTTCCTCTTCCCAGCTGGAGCCCAGAACACTAGCCAGCACCCTTTCCATAAGGGCTGTGCACAGGTGTGCAATCATTAGGTTCTGGTCCCTACTAAACCATGGACCCAGGAATGGAGATTTCATCCCTCCCAGTTCTCTTTGAAATCTCCCAGTTCCAGGATCCCGTGCCAAATCCAGGTTTTCTGGAGAGAACTGCAAAGCCAGTTCTTTCCTAGCAAAATAAGTTGTTTCCTGGAACTGCTCAGTCTCTCTGGCTGAGAGTCCTGGGTTACTACAACCCCCAGTTCCACTGTGGGATTGCCACACAATACCACAATGTGGAGCCCCTTTGTTTAGTATTTTTAGTTTAAAACATTTACATTTCTTTAATTGAAGCTGTAAATTTTACCATCAGGTTATGTATCCTGGCGCGATAAGAAAAGCGGATCATGGTACGTGGAGACGCTGGATGAAGTCCTAGAAAGCTACGCTACGACTTTAGACTTGCAGGCCCTGCTGGTCATGGTGAGTGTGTCCCCAGTTCTGTCTTTTCTTGTGTTTGCGGTTACACGGACAAAGCACAGATTTTCTTTCATAGGCATTTTAAAATGCAAGATATAGATGACTATGTTTGACATCATCTATGTCCTTGGTTCTCAACTAGTGGGTCGCGACCCCGTGTTTAGTGGGTCGCCGCACGCCTTCCACTTTTCTAGGTGAGAGGCTCCTCAGCCGTACCCTAGCGCAGCGCTGTCAGTTCTCGTGCCGAGCAGCCATTCAAAATATGCTGCCCGGCGCCGAGTGTCAGCTTAAGGTGAGATGGGGCTTTGGTTGCGAGGAAGCTCCATATGTGCATTGCTTACAGCTCCTTCACGTGTCCTGTAGAGGTGCCTGGACCGGAGTGACGTCACATTCTGGCTCCCAGGACCTCTACAGGGTGCGCAAGGGTGCTATATGTGCAATGCACATATGGATGGAGCTCCGTCACAGCTCAGCAGTTTGTGTCTGTGGTTGTGTATGTATGTCAATGTTTTTGAGGGCCCATTCACACTAGTACAGTGCGTTAATCGTATAGTACCGTGCGATTAACGCACTACCATGCATTCTGGTGTGGGAGGTGTGTTGAGTTGCCATTCATTTAAATGGTTCCCTCTAAACACACCTCCCACCCACAGCTCGTACCCAGCACGCGGTACCCTAATTCCATGCATTCCTTTGGCGTGCGACTTGGGTCAGGAGTTAATGACCAAAGACAAATGTGGGTCCTGAGGTTTAAACAGGTTGAGAACCACTGGTCTGTGTGACCTCATCACTGGGTCTCTGCTTCTCTATCAATGCAGGCAAATGGCTGGTGGGAGGGGCCGGCAGGGGGCTGTACATAGCTTCCTGAAAACATCACAGCACACTAACCCAGTGTCACCCAGTGTCAGTCTGGAGGAGAAGGCTTTACAAGGCAGGAAACATCTGCATGCAGATCGCCCTAGGTCATGCACTTATGGGATGCTGAGCATTCATAATTAAAAGAACTGAAATCCAGTAAATGAAAGGGGCGGGGCCAGGGACAGTCAGGCTTGGGATGAAACTGCTAGATGATGCTGGGTGTCCTCCAGCCAGGAAATGAGGCGGAGCTCTATCTGACTTGCTGCAGCTTCTAATGCACATTGTGAGAAGCTCCCAGTGTGCAGTGATATCAGAGGAAGCCAGTCCAGGAGAGGAGCCGGTACAACTGCAAGAGAAGGGAAGGCCGGAGGTCAGATAGAAGACTGAAGGGAAGGACGGAGGTCAGATATAGGACTGAAGGAAAGGACGGAGGTCAGATAGAAGACTGAAGGGAAAGACGGAGGTCAGATAGAAGACTGAAGGGAAGGACGGAGGTCAGATAGGAGACTGAAGGGAAGGACGGAGGTCAGATAGAAGACTGAAGGGGAGGACGGAGGTCAGATAGAAGACTGAAGGGAAGGACGGAGGTCAGATACAAGACTGAAGGGAAGGACAGAGGTCAGATATAAGATTGAAGGGAAGGACGGAGGTCAGATGGAAGACTGAAGGGAAGGAAGGAGGTCAGATAGAAGACCGAAGGGAAGCAAGGAGGTCAGATAGAAGACTGAAGGGAAGCAAGGAGGTCAGATAGAAGACTGAAGGGAAGCAAGGAGGTCAGATAGAAGACTGAAGGGAAGGACGGAGTTCAACTCTAAATTGTGTTTGCATTTCATATGCAGGTGGCGAATATCGTATCATCAAAAGGAACATATAAACAGATACCCGGCTACTTCAACTTCCTTCGCAAGAAGTTCTTCTTTAAAACAGACTAAAGAAAAGTGTTTGGGATTTTTTGGTTCTATAATGACGCCCTCGATCATGTGATTGCTGTGTGACTATGGACATAACTGACGCAATAGAGAGGAACTTATCTACAACTGGTGCCATGATATCCGGATCTGTACTTCATTACACGGTGCTGACTTGTTTTTTTTTATATTGGACTCAAATCAATGCGTGTCAGTGGACAAGTTTAATGCACAATACAAAACACGGTTTTCGAAATGTAAGAATACAAGCAGCCACATTACCTTTTTCATTTTGGATACCTTAAAGGATCATGCGTCTTCTTTGCTTCATTATTTGTAGTACAAAAGAGAGTTTTCTCAATGCTGTTTATGGATTTACATCAGAACCTTTTTTTTCTACAGTCTTCCTTATTGAGAGACCTGGCCACACCCACAGCGGTGTCATGCCGCACATTGTATGGACACAATCGGATTAGCTCAGCCTTTCCCAAGCTTTTTCTTGACATGGAGGGACCCTTGAAATAACTTTCAGGTCTCAGGGAACCCCTGCTAATAATTACTCTACAGCTCTCGGGACATGAATGTGAACACTAAGCTGTGAATACATTTACATTTAAATAAAGGTGTGGTGTGCTTGCTGTATTTGACACCCAAGGCTGCTCTAAACGGCACAGTTATTTGTCAGTAATAATAAAATGAATCTAATAATAATGCCGATGATAGAAATGAGGACCGTACAAATTATCCGGGATGGCAGAAACTGCTCATTGCTCAAGGAATTCCCAGCCACCTCTAGATCAGCGGGTTCTCAACCTTCATGGGACCCCCAGGGCCAGGTAAATTTTTCCAAAGTCTTCC